ATGTGAACGCCATACCCACCTCCAGATTGGCCGTCGGATTGTACACTGGCATAGGGACAAAGTCGGGGGGATCATTCTGACTATGTAAAAATTGAGTTGGAACCTGTGTGTAATATGGCGTGGGTGCCTCACGAAATGCCGCCTCATCCTCGTTATCATCAGTATCTTCCTCCTCCTCGCTCACTGATATCAAATCTTCCTCAGTATCCTCGTCGCTTGACTCGAATGGATAGCTCGAGCTAGAAGGATCAACATGACCACGATCACCAACATCGTCCTCTCGCTCATGTGAAGTACGCCCTGATCGAATGGTATTCTCGATTCCATACCACTCTGGCCCCCAAGCAGGCCATTGAACACCATCGGCCTCACCAAATGGGGCTGGTTTAGGAGGTTGCGAGTATTGGTCCCATCCTGCACTACTCGATCCACCGTAGTTGATTGAACCACCACCCTCCCCGTAACCTCCTGTATAACCACCGCCTTGGTAGTTGCTCGAACTACCACCCCATTCGTACCCTCCTGCAAAACTATCATCATAAGAATACTGGTGAGAATGAGATTCACCGAGCGCCTCGGTCTCAACATACACCTCTGCAAGCCGGACTTGGTTATCGCTTAGGAACTGTAACATCATCATAACCGCGTCATCATCGTTTATGACAACTTCTTGGAACACGACCCCGCCAGCACTCATGTCTGGATACCGGTAAGTAATTTTGCCAAGTCTCGTCTGTCCGCTCGTACAAACCCTTTCTGCACAAAGATCATAGAGTTCTTGAAAATTGAATCGGGATTCAATTTTCAGCATAATGGATTCGCCGTCCTCATAATCAATGCCTATGTCAGAGTTTGTCACCCTTCCATTCCACCGAATAGTAAGATGAAACTTCTTGAATTTACCCATATCTACAATTTACAATAAGTATCTATTAGCTTAAAGACAGTAAAATTAACCAAAATCATATTGTACAACTAATATTAAATCATACCATAACTAACGAAAATAAATTCAACTAACTAACAACAACATAATACGAAAATTAAATCATACTATAACTAACGAACATAAGTTCAACTAACTAACAACAACATAATACGAAAATTAAATCATACTATAACTAACGAACATAAGTTCAACTAACTAACAACAACATAATACGAAAATTAAATCATACTATAACTACTAAAAACATAATTAGACCATAATACGAAAAGTCTCAACATACCGAAAAATTTCTGTTCTGTGTATTATGCTCGAATTTGGCTGCTGAAATTTGAAGAAAGGGGAGTGGTTATGTTTTTACAACTGGTGGTGGTGTGCTATTTATAGGAAAAAATGCCTACTATTCACCGTTTTTGTCAAAAACGGTGAACACTATCACCGCGTTTGTCTCAGACGGTGAATAGGTGGTAGCTGCGACCTAATTTTGACCTACCAGGGGTGGGAAACGTGGGAAATGATCACCGCGTTAGTTAACAACGGTGAAGGCTTCACCGTTTTTGACCAAAACGGTGATGTATTCACCGTTGTTAATTAACGCGGTGAAAACTTCACCGTTTTGGTTTGAAAAGGTGAATACTTCACCGTTTTTGTTTAAAACGATGAAGTATTCACCGTGTTTGTCAAACGCGGTGATGATCTTCACCGCGTTTGTCTAAAACGGTGATGCTCAAACATGTGTACTTTGGGAAATTTTTTTATAACTCATGTATTTTGGGAATTTTTTTTAAGAACGTGTGTACTTTGGGATTTTTTCCTTAAAAAATAATAAAAAAAATTATGGTTGGTTGAGGGATTTGAACCCTCAACCTCATCAAACCCAAGTCCACAATAAACGGGGAAAAACCCATGTACTCAATTTGCTGGAACATCTATTTGTTGTTTCCATGAAGCTGCGCCATTAATGACTATTTGGTTTTTCATATTGGAACTACGGAGAATGAAATAGAACTTGAGAATGTTTTTTTTATTTGTGTTTTCAAATTTTTGTAGTGGAAACAAAAAATAGAAAACGAAATGACAGGTGAACAGATCATAAGTTAGGCAGAATCCAAATATTAGTAACTTAGAGCATTTGGGTCCAATGTTTTAAGTGAGTATAGTTACACAACCAGGGGTGGACAACGAACCTATAAACCCCGAACTGAATTGTAGGGAACTGATATTTTTTGGAATGAATAGAATGAGTTCAAATTATCTTAAATATGTAACAAAAGTTCATTGAAATTGAATTTGGACAAGATGGAAGCAAAACAAACTAGGAGGGCAAAACAAAGATGCCCATGTGTCGGGACAAGTCGCGGCCAGGTGGATGAGGGATGGGAGAGGTATTAGTAAACGATATATGATCCACGATTGAACATTTCCCACAGCTCGAGTTATTGGGAGCCTATGTATATGGAGCCTATGTTGATGGCTGACTGTGTACTTGACGATGAAGTATTGGTGGAATAAAATAATTCAAGTAAGGGTGGAGAAGACGACAAACACATTGCCGCATGTGACGTGTTGGAGAAGATCAATCTTGGCACTAAGGACAATCCACGTCCAACTTTCATAAGTGCCAACCTGCCGGAGTCTGACATGTATGAGTTAATTGAACTTTTAAAGGAATTAAAGATTGTTTTGCATGGGATTATCATGAAATGTCTAGCTTAGATACAAAAGTAGTAGAGCATAGGTTACCAATTAAAAGTGGCTTTAAACCTTACAAACAACCACCTAGATGTTTTGCTTATGAATTCTTGCCAAAAATAAAGAAAGTGATTGAACATCTGTCGAAAGCAAAGTTCATTAGAACTGTTAGGTATGTTGAGTGGTTGTCATGTATTGTGCCAGTGAGAAAGAAAAATGACAACTTGCGTGTATGTGTAGACTTTAGGAATTTGAATATGGTCACCCCGAAAGATGAGTACCCTATGCCAGTGGCTGACATGTTGCTTGATGTTGTTACCAGACATTAGATTTTTTTCTTTCATGGATTGCTATTCTGGCTATAACCAAATCTATATAGTCGAGGAGGATGTGCACAAGACGGCGTTTTGTTGTCCAGGGTCTATTGGCTGTTATGAGTGGATAGTCATGCCTTTTGGTTTGAAGAACGCTGGTGCAACTTACCAAGAGACCATGAATGCCATTTTTCATGATTTGATTGGTGATTTGGTGGAAGTGTACATTGACGACATTGTCGTCAAGTCGAATGTGACGAGTCATTACCTTTCTCATTGACGTAGAGCTTTCCTGTTGCGAGAGCTCACAAGTTAAAACTGAATCCACTAAAATGTGATTTTGGTGTGAGTGCAGGTAACTTTTTAGGATTCTTAGCAAGTCAACGTGACATTAATTGAGTTCATGCCACCATGCAATAAAAAGGCGTTGCAGCGGTTCCTAGGCCAAGCCAATTACATTCGAAGATTCGTCTCGAATTGTGCAGGCCAAACCCAAGTTTCTCTTCATTGCTCAAGTTGAAGAAGAAAAATGAGTTTGTGTGGCGAGAGGAGCACCAACAAGCATTTGAAGATATCAAAAGGTATTTGGTTAACCCGCCAGTGCTCAACTCACCAATTCAGAATCGTCCTTTAAAATTATATCTTTCAGCAACATACACATCTGTAGCATGTCTGTTGGCTCAGGAAAATGATTCTGGCAATGGGCAATCAGTGTACTACTTAAGTAGGTTGTTGAATGAGGCCGAGTAAAAATACTCACCCATAGAAAAGTTATGTTTGGCCTTGTACTTTGCTTGTACGAAGTTAAGATATTACTTGACACTCGTTGAGGTGCAACTAATTTGCCAAACTGATGTTATTAAATACATGTTGTCCTGACAATCATCCATGGTAGGATTGGTAAATGGACACTTTCATTGTCCGAATTCAATTTGAAGTGCGTGACATAACGTGCAGTTAAGGGTCAAGCCCTAGCAAATTTTTTGGCAGATCATCAATGTGTAGATATGCCAACAGAGCAAATAATAGCTAGGATGGTTGAGGAGATGCCTTGGATTTTGTTCTTTGACGGATCAAAGACACGTTCAGGAGTAGGAGCTGGCGTGGTGTTGACGATTATGGGTTAGGGAAGACCTAGGAGTTTTGGCTGGCTGCTTCCCTAACTTGACCTGCTTCCTGTTCTGTCGGCAAGTCTTCTCGATCTCCGGATCTAGTGACAGTAAATCGCCGGTTGTCCTCCTAGGCATGCACAGAGAGGATAAACCTGAAAATTCACCTGCACACTAGCACCCAAATCAAAACAGTTCACTCACTAAAATTAATAAAAATAAGGTATGTCAGTCCCCGGCAACGGCGTCAAAAACTTGATAGGGCAAAAGCATATATGCCTTAATCCTATCTCGTATTAAACCGGAAAGTCCGGGTATCGTCTCTCAAGGACAGGTACAACCTTATATTCTATAATTTTTATAGAGCAAACTATAGGCTAGGGGTGGGCAACGGGAAACGGGTATTCGGGAATGCCCGTACCCGTCCCGTTTTTTAAGGTTTACGAGTACCCATATTACCCGTAATATTATTAAAGGATGGGACTTGGGATTGTACATTCCTACAATGTGTACCCGCGGGTTACCCGCAAATACCCGTTTGGGTAATATGAGTTCCTGTTATACCCATTCAAAATAAAAAGGGCTAATACCACTACAACACCCGAACTATCCCGAAAATGCCACTTGTGTCCTATTGTTTCCAATATTCCATCTGTGTCCTGAACTATGATACTTTGTGCCATTTGTATCCTGGCGATTTTGTTTACCGTTATCTCTAACGGTTGACCTGACGGTGGTCAAAGAGATGTTGACTTTTGTTGACATGGAAGAAAACGTGGCATCCACGTAGATGCCACATCATACCACATATACTTTTCAATTCAAAATCAAAATAAAATGCAAAATAATTAAAAAATCACTTTCTACCCACTGTCGCCTTCAACCCGCTCCCCGCCCTCAATTGTACCCATCACCGCCGCCTTCAAATCCCTTCCTCAAATCACCATCTATGGCAACGATATCTCGTCGCCGCCTTCCCCCACGACAAGGTGCTCTTACAACGACCTCGCTTCCTCAACCCTCTCCATCTGAAATCTATCACCATCGTTGAGAGTTCTTGAATCCGAATCGATGACGTTGAAGGAGAAGGAGAAGGCAACAATGGCTGTGGCTGTTTGGCTAGGGATTGGGACTGGGAGGAGTTCTTTGCGGCGGCGGATCTTGCTCGGGCAAGGAATTGGGAACCTTGGATGAAGTGTCGATTGGACTGGAGGGCGGTACTGTTGTTGGCTCGCTGCCTGGATAGGAATAGCCATGGAGAGTGGAAAGATCTGGAGCCGCCGCCGCTTCCCATCAGCCACGTATTGATCGAGTCTCGCCGCCGCCAACTGGGCTTCTCGTTCTTCGACGGATTTGAATCCACCATCTCTTCGACAATGACGAACAGTGGAGAAGATCTGGATTGCGACGAAAACGGCGACGGTGAGTGCGATGATCGCCACTTGGAAGGCGCCGTCCGTCGCCATGGAGAGTGGAAAGATCTGGAGCCGCCGTCGCTTCCCATCGACCACGTATCGATCAAGTCTCGCCGCCGCCAACTGGGCTTCTCGCTCTTCGCCGGATTTGAATCCACCATCTCTTCGACAGCGACGAACATTGGAGAAGATTTCGAGCTCTCTGGTCGCCGATCGCATAGGAAGTAGTGGGTGGATGAGAACGGTGACTTTCAACAGAGCCGTCGATCTGGAGCTCGGAGAGGGAAGGGGATTGAATTAAGGGATTGAATCTGTCGATTGTGAGATGGGAGAGGGAGAGGGAAAGATTTTGGGATTTTTCATTTTTTTGCCTTGTTTTTATTATTTTAGATAGAAAAATGAATAAAAATTGATAATGAAAATTCCACGTCAGATGTCATGTCAACGCTGACTGGATTTTATGTTAAATACTAACAGTCAACACCAGTCAACACTAACAGAATAATAGTCCAGGACACAGATGGAATATTGGAAACAATAGGACACAAGTGGCATTTTCGTGATAGGTCGGGTGTTGTAGTGGTATTAGCCCAAATAAAAATGATAGCCTTTAAATTTTAGTATGTGGCGGATGAGCTGCTTGTTATGGTTTCTGTTTAGATGTTGAATTGATTTATTATGGGAAGAGACATGGAGATTTGGTGTTTCAGTTTTGAACTTCAGTAATGATATAATTAGAGCCCATAATTAAGTAGTTAATTAAGCTTGTTGGTGGGTTGTGCACCTAAATCTGTTTGCTTGTGTATTTGTAGCTAGATTGCTAATGATTTTGGAGCTCAGTTATTGCATAATGCCAAGCAGCCCAAGCTATTTAAGTTACTTGTTCCCGGCCCCTCCCACTGATTTGGAAGTCTTTCAGTGTTGATGTGTTGTGTCTTTGCACTAATTACTCCCCTAGTTCACCAACGACATTTCCTTATCATAGTTGGTGGAGATGGACCCCGGAAAACGAAAAACTAATGAACATGAATCTCATCCATAGAAGTCAATCTGAGTGGTTCCCTCCCGGACAAAATGTAGCATCCGCGGATGAAAGAGTTCAAGGGTGATTGAAGGACTAAGTCCTTACCATATGTGGAAAAGTCCTAGTTTCATGTTTCTCCGTTGCGTGAGCATCTTCTAACATGATATCGCCCACTCCCTCTATCTTTCTTTGACTATAGATCCTAGGTGCTTTCGACTCCTTCGGAAAGAAGGTTAGCTTCACTGAGAACGGGTGCTTCTATAGTATTGAGATGCCATGGAAGTCCTATCTTCTCTTCTCAACTCAGCAGCATCTTCTGGAATTAGCAACTTTTACACGAATTTGAAAGCAGACTCGATCGGCCGGGGGAGGAATGCAAAGCCTGGATGGCTTGGTAAGCAAGCAATCCGTTAAACGGCGCCAACTCCCCATTCTTTCTTTTTTAAAGTCACAGTAGTTAGTTGTAAATGATAGGTTTGCTACAGATAGTGCTTTCATCTTTAGCTATCCATTCCTGATCTGGTTTTAATTGTTTTTCTCTGGTTTCCTGCTTCTGGTCCGGTATTTGTCAAAAACCAGTTGATCCCAATAACTCGATTTGTTGGGAGAGGTTCAATCGTGGATCATATACCACACACTAACACACCCCTTCAAACGAAAGCCAATCAACTCATAAGGGCTTTCGTTTGCACATGTTCTGAACACGGAATACATGTGCTTCACAAATGGGGTCACCGGGATTCGAATACAAGACCTCTCGGTCAAATAAGGCTCTGATACCATGTCAAAAACCATTTGATCCCAATAACTCGAGTTGTTGGGAGAGGTTCAATCGTGGATCATATACCACACACTAACAGTATTACGGTAAGTTTGTCTATACTTTGCTTCTAAGTATCATTTTCTGATTCTATTGGTTGGGTCTCTAAGAATTGGAGGGTCTCCGTTGGTTTGCTATTTGTTGTTTGTGTTTCCTCTGTTTGCTTCTTCTTTTGCAGATTCCTACATATTGCGACCAGTCACCGATGACTTCGTCCCTCATCGGCGTCGCCGACTCAAGATAGGCGTTCCAAGGAGTTAGTTGCTCAGTGACGACATGCTCAGTTCAGCCTCCTTTCATCCTTATCCTACAATAACGTAGAGGCGGCAGGGTGGATACGTCCTCCCGACTTTCGTCTTGAGTGGCGATGGAGTAATAAGTTTGTAGAGCTCCTTTGCTATGGGGAGGGCACGTAGCTTTGGCAGTTTGTTGGCGTATTTTATTGGCCTGGCTGGCGTGTCCTTGTCAACAAGAAATTTATGGACACCTATCATATATAGGCACGGAAAGCTTCACTTTATTATTGTTGGACTTTGTTTGTTTTGCAGGGACCTTTTGAATCGCGTTTGGGCCTTGTTGGTTGGGCCGCTCTGGGACTGGACCAATTCAACTTTTTTTTGCAGTTTTCGGACTCATACGAATTTAATTGAGGTTTTGGAGTTGGACGGGTCGAATTGGAGTTTCTTGCTTCCCAGTTGTTGAGGGAGCTATTTCTTTGTTTGTTTTGTTTTGCTTTGTTTTGTAGGAGATGTTGCGTAAGTTTTGATGGACTTTATGGCTTCAATGGAAATGCAAAGTGTGTCGAATCCTGAATCCGTATTCTTAGTAATTTAATTTCTAATATGTTTTTGTTTCGTGCATACTTTATTGTTAGATTTGCAGGGATTTACTGCATTGTGGTCGCTTGACAACCACAAGAGTTTGGTCCATTACTTCCGCCCTGAAAAGGGTTAAAGCACATACATGGATTCTGGTAAATGCGTAGGTATATTAGGGTTGGCAATTTGTGGCACAAAAAGCCCTCTTGTTGTTGGATCGTCCGACGCTTCTTCCCTATTTATCTTTTGTGTTTTGGCCTGCAAAGATCTTGTACTTATATTTCGTATCTTGATGCTTCCCATTCTGCGGGTACCTTTGGGGGAAAAAAAATCTAATTCCATTTCCCTGGCTAATTCCCCTTCCGTCATTTTCTCCTCCAAAAGGGACAAACGAGTTGGTCCAAAGTACATTCATCCCCCAGAAGCCCTTCCGCCTGGTCCAAATCCTTTTCTTCTTCAAAAGAAATCCCCTGGCCAATTCCGTCTCCCACTTGGATCAGGCCCGATACATTTAATTTGAAGAAAATGTCCATCTGGTCCATTTGAGTTATTTAATCCACCGATGCCAATTTCTCATTTCATTTAAAATGGGTAAATTGCAAGTTTGGTCACTAGAATTACTAAAAAAATTCACGTTTGCCATTGGAATTAGTTTATTCCATTCTTGGTCACTAAGATTTGTTCACCAGTTCAAGTTTGGTCACTCTCCGTTCGGGTCCGTTAACTTTACCTAACGTGACAGTCAACTCTTAAAGTTGACCATTAAATAAGTGGCATGACAATTAAAAATATTCAAATTTAATATTTCCCATTTTCCAACTCGTCATCAATCTAAAAATAATAATTACAAAATATTAATAACAAAAAGATGAGAAGTTGATACCCCTTCTCCCTCTGTCTCCCCCTCCGATGCTCGTCCCTCTCCGCCACTCGTCGCCGGTCTTCAACTCTCCCGAAGCTACTACTTTGAAGAACCGGCCGCTCTCCTGCATCCTTTTCTACCTAGTTTCCAAGATTCCAGGCATCTTCATCGTTCGCTAGACCAAAGTCGGCCGCCTCTTGTCAATCCTTTCCATCTGGCAACCCGTTACCAGCAATGATACCGCACCCATCCTGCTCCAGTCGGCGGTCGTCTTTGCATCTTGTTACCCCTGTTTCTCCTTGCTGTTCCTGCCGCCAACCCCCTTGATCCTGGTAATCACCTCAATCGACCGATTCACACAAAACCCTCTTCTTCTTCGCCAGCCAACCGATTCACACAAACCCAAATCGACAAAGCCTACATCTTTCTTCCCAAAAAATCCCAAACCTTCCTTTCTCTAGCATCAACCAAACATACCGTCCTTTTCTTCCCAGAAAACTCACTTCCCAGAAAATAAAAAAACCCAAATCCCTCTTCTTGGCAAAATTACGACCCAGGATCAGAGGCGGGCTGTTTAACTCGGTTGCTTGTGAAAGACCCCAAATAGTCAGCCGTCGAGGTCTTCTACGGGAGGAGACGAAGCTGGCGAGGAGTGTGCGTTTTTTGGGTTTGGGTGCTATGACGGATTGAGCTACCATCATGGAGGTTGCTAGGTTCGGGCGTGGTGGTGGATTGAGCTGCCGTGATGGAGGTAGCGATGAAAACGGAGAGTGACCAAATTTGAACTGTTCAACTAATGAGATGAAAATATTAAATATTAATATTTTTTAATTTTTAATTGCCACATCACATATTTAACGGTCAACTATGAGAGTTGACTGCCATGTCAGATAAAGTTAACGGAAGTTAACGGAGAGTGACCAAATTTGAACTGTTCAACTAATTTTCGTGACCGAGAATGGAATAAACAAATTATAGTGGCAAACATGAAATTATTTTGTAATTTCAGTGACCAAACTTGCAATTTACCATATATAAAATATTTGTCACCTGGTGGTAATGGTTATATAACCATTCCAGGTTAGTTGAAAAAAAACAAGCATTATATGTCTCAAACATATCATATAATAATCACATTCAGCACACAAAATCAATATGTTTTCGACAATTGTTAGTGTCCATCATGGTTGTCATGCCGATGGCATGCCACCCGGTTGAACCTGGTTCAACCTGTACCGGTCATGAAACCGCCATGACACCACCGGTATGACTGGTATGGTCGGCTTACACATTCTAAACAAAATGGCATCATTTCAATGAATTTAATTAATAAAAAATTAATTTATTATTCATTTTATGAATTTAATTGTTAAAAGTTGATGATATTTGTTGGATTGTAACTAAATTATCCACAAATATGTTTTATATATATGATTAAATGCATTGTATATTAATTGTTTTTACATTTTTTTAAACCGACATGAACTGGCACAAATTGGTTATACCACCGGTCGTACCATTACACTTGCTAAACCGGCACAACGGTATAAACCGGTTTGACAACCTTGATGTCCATCAAGTTTATTCCTCGTATGGATAATGGCAAGGCTAACTATCTAGCCCTGCTTGCATCTGGCTTCAGAGAGTTTCGCAGTGGAGGAAGATATCAAATATTCATGCAAGCTCTTAGCCTTTTGAGGGATAGGATGAGACAAGTTGTCGAGTTGTTGGGAGAAGGTTATGCTGGATCTTATACCACTCTCTAATACGCCCCCTCAAACGGAAGTCAACTCATGGGCTTGAAGTTTGTACAGGCCCACCATACCATGTGCATGAAGACAACTGTTAATATTGGGGGTCGTGGAGATTCAAACACACGACCACTTGATCAAACCAGCTCTGATACCATGTCATAAATCAATTGGTCCCTAAAACTCGAATTGTTAGGAAAAAGTTATGGTGGATCTTATACCACTCCTGATATTCATAAGAGTCGCGCTAGCAAAGTGTGCTTGGCATTCGTTAATCCCTATTGGCTTGTTTTAAATTTCTTAAATGCAGCAGACTAATACATGTACGACACGTAGGGTTTTTCCTTTGCATGGAATTTTCAGGGCCCATTGGCTTGCTATTCATTAGCTGAGCCGTGATTAGCCCATTTTTCCCCCTTGGACCGTGTTTAGAGTTGTCTTGTGCATTTCAATCTCTTATTTTTTTTGAAAAGATACTTGCATTAACAAGACAAAAGAGTTACATCAAACCAATTTTCGAGCACAACCACGCCCGAAATCAAAACCAACACTTCCCGTAGGAAACAAACCGAGGGCTTTTTTGGCCACCAAATGGGCCACCCTATTTTTCTGTCTACCTACAAACACCACACTAAACCCAACATTAGCTTCCAGTAGCCGACAGATTTCCTGGAGAATAGCCCCGACCTTCGTGTCCCTAATGGTCCCTGCGTTAACTTTGTCGATCACCACTTTCGCATCAGCGACAAACTGAACATTCGAGAGACCAGCCTCTGCACACCAGCATAGTGCATCCCGAAGAGCCATTGCCTCCACCAACATAGGATCAACCATACCAGAGAGACACGACCCCCTTGCCATTAGAATACCACCAACCTCATCCTGCAGAACAATCCCAATTGAACCATGCGACCCAGTAGAAATCGCCCCATCAAAGGCGCACCTGTAAACACCCGACACGATACCCGGCTCAACCACCTGCACTGTTGGAGCAGTTACTCTCCCACTACCCAGAGACAAACTATCCATCCATTCCTGAACTTAAAATCTGAATTGCCTTTCCAATACTAAGAATGTATCTTGCTGTCCCTCAAAAGCCACCAAGTTTCTAGACTTCCAAATTCGCCAGAGAAGACAAACAAGACGAACCACTCGTGCTGGAGAGGAATCCCGCTCTAAGAACCCTCGAAAGAAGATAGGGAACGCCTGCTCTTGACCAATCACCCAGTCGTTCCTCAATCCCGACATTTCCCACATAGCTAACGCCACCAGGCACGAGAAAAATAAGTGCTCTATGTTTTCTTCGGGAGCCCAGCACACGGGACATTGTGGTAATACCAAAACCTTCTTCCGGATCAAAGCCTCCATCGTCGGGAGAGTGCGTTGCAAAAGTTGCCAGATAAAAAGTCTGAGTTTGGGATGAACCTCCAGGCCCCAGAATTTCATCCATAACACCCTATCCACCGGATCACACCCTGACTTCTTTCTCATACTAGCGCGATTCAGGCTCTCAGCCAGCCTATACCCTGAATTCACAGTATACACCCCGGACGGGTCGAGCCTCCATACCCAGACATCCTCACTAGGAGTGCGTGGAATCGGAACTTGGAGGATAGCCCGCACCGTGTCCATACTAAATGTCTGCAGAAGACATTCTTGACACCAAGAGCGTGTCTCCTGATCAATTAACGAAACTACATACTCTCCACCAACTAAGGGAGCCCCAACTCGCAACTCCGGAAATCCCGGGAAAATTTGAGGAATCCATCCACTCGACATGATGGGAATTGATTCCCTAGATCCAACCTGGCACTCCAACCCCTTCATCAATAAGCGGGCACCATGGAGAATGCTGTGCCAAGCCCACGAGGGTCGAAAGCTCATCTTAGCCAACAAGATAGATCCATGAGGGAAATATTTCCCACGGAAAACTTGGGCCAGAAAGGAATCTGGTTCATCAAGAATTCGCCATGCCACTTTGGCTAATAAATCCTGATTAAACTCCTCGAAACGCCGGAACCACATTCCACCCTCGTGCTTACTGCAACAAAGGCGACGCCAAGACACCCAAGGAATTCCCGATCGACCCCCCGAGGATCCTCAACAGAATCTAGCCATATGCTTATCCATCCTCCGACAAAGGGTCAAAGGTAACTTAAAACACGACATCCCCTGAACTGGCAAGGCCCCCGCCACTGCTTTTAGGAGAGTCTCCTTCGCCGCCCACGACAAATGGCGCTGTTTCCACCCTTTAATCCTCTCAAGCAACTTTTCCTCCAAGAAACGGAAGGTATCAGACTTTGATCTAGCCACCAACGTAGGGAGTCCCAAGTATTTATCATGGACCTCAATCGCGCCAATCCCTAGGCAACTCCCCATGGCTTCTTGATCAGCTCCATCAATGTTCCGACTAAAACAGACAGCTGATTTAGCCAGATTAACCTTTTGTCCACTCAAAGCCTCGTAATCTTGGAGTACCGCCATAACGTTGTGGCAGTCCTGAAGAGACCCGCGCAAAAATAGGTAGGAATCATCCGCAAAAAGGAGATGAGATATCCGGGGCGTCCGGGGACTCACCCGAACCCCTTCTAGTCTCTTCCGATCAATAGCCTGACGCAACAAGGTAGATAATCCTTCCGTACAGATTACAAAGAGTAGAGGCGATAAAGGATCCCCCTGCCGAAGCCCTCTCGTAGACCGAAAGAAACCGGACGGGCTACCATTGACCATGACCGAAAAGGAAGCCGTGGAGATACACTCCTGCACCCATCGAACCCAAACTTGGTTAAAACCCAACTTTTCAAGAACTGCCAGTAAGAAAGGCCACTCGACCCTGTCATAGGCTTTCTCCATATCCACCTTTAATGCCGTAAAGCCTTTCTTACCCGTTCGCTTGTTCTTGAGGTAATGTATAAGCTCATGCCCAATTAATATATCATCCACAATCTGACGTTTCCTAATGAAACCATTCTGCCCAGAAGACACAACTTGCGGTAGAACTACCGCCATCCTCTCCGCCATGATTTTGGTAATTATCTTATACACAAATTGGCACAAACTAATGGGTCGTAATTGGCGCATAGTCTCAACATTCTCAACCTTCGGAATCAAAGTAAGCCAAGTTTGGTTAAAGCTGCGTAAGATATGCCCATTCTCAAAGAATGAGCGCACATAAGCAACCACTGACTCCCCTACTATATCCCAAAAAGCTTTAAAGAATTTTCCAGTAAAACCATCAGAGCCCGGCGCCTACAACGACCCCATGCAAAAAACCGTCTTCCGTATCTCTTCCTCAGTAACCTCTGCTACCAGGGCACCATTCATTTGCTCAGTGACTTTTGCCTCCAAGGGGAGATCAGGAACCCGATCCCGGATACCCCGGACATCCGCCTCAGCCGTGAACAAACGCTCGTAAAAACTCACTGCCACCTCCGCCTTCTCCGGTTCCTCCCTAGCCCAGGTGCCATCCTCCCGCTGCAGCTTGTCAACAAAGTTCCGTTTTCTCCTGGCCCTGGTCACCGTATGAAAATACGATGAATTTTGGTCCCCAGTCCTTAACCAACACACCCTCGACTTCTGTTTCCAGTACATTTCCTCCGCAGCCCATTGCAAGGTGAGTTCCCGCTCCAATTGATTAATCCGATCCCATTCCACCTGGGGTTCCTCCTTCAAGGCCCCAATCTCGGCCTGTAAGACACAAATCTGCCTTTCGGAATTGGTGGTCCCCGCCTTGCTCCATTGGAACAGAAGATGCCGCAGCTTTTTGAGCCGGACCCACAACTGGTACATTGCCGACCCCTGGACCGGTTCATTCCACACATTCTCCACCATCGGACGGGCCTCCACATTGTCCGCCCACCTCGCATCAAAGCGGAACAACCTCTTAGCCGTACGGGGGAAAGGTTTATCAGCCACAATCAGGGCTCTATGATCTGATCCAAGGTCAGTACCATGAACCACCAGCTACTCGGGGAAAGACTGCAGCCAACTGTCAGAGGCCAAGGCCCTATCCAACCGTTCCTGAATGCAGGCCTCCCCCATCTACCGATTCGTCCACGTAAAAGGGTTCCCCAGAGAAACCAAGATCCTGAATCCCCAATACATCCACAAAATCAGGAAAAGGTTGTGACTGCACTGGGTTCCAAGGCCTCCCTCCCACTTTTTCATTAGAGGCTAAGATATCATTGAAATCCCCCACCACCATATATGGTATCACAAGATCGGCGCATACTCGCCGCAATTCATCGATTTTCACAACCCGCTCAACCGCACGACAACTAAAATAAATGAAAACCACACAAAGTTTTGTTCCATCTTTTTCCGACACAAACCGAAATAAAAAATGACGAACTACAAAGCACCGAGACCAGAAGCTCGGGGGACCAACCCACTGCCAACCCTCCTGAAGAATCAACAGCGTCAACTAAGAAAAAATAAAAAACCTAAACCCCGAAGGCGTCGAGAGACAACCTTACGCCGCGATCGGGTTTCCGAAAAGAAAACAATCTCAGGATTATTTGACCGAACTACACCTAGGATCGACTGAAACGTGAGGGACGGCCCAATTCCCCTCACGTTCCAAGCGAGAAGCCTCATTTGGCTGCATGGGGCCGCTCAAGGGCGGCTTCCTCCACCTGATTATCATCGCCATTCTTTTTTCCAATCTCATCCCCTTTTGGGACATCTTGAGGCGGTGCGTCCTCCATCGAATCATCAAGGCACAGTTTCTTCACCGGAGTAGGATCCTTAGCTAGATCCTCCACAAGATCCACCGGCCTCTTCCTATCCCCCATCTCTTTCATCCGATGGCGCCGTCATCCGGAAAGCAACCTGCGTGCCAGAAGACGGGGAACGCAGGCTCCCTGTACCCGCCAGCTCCTTGTTCCCACCCCCTGTTGGCGCAAACACCACCTGTTGAGGAGCACTACCCCCAACCGACCCATCCTCCTTCAACCCATCACAAGCTGACCCTTCCTTCTTCCCACCAGCACGTACAGGCCCCATCTTCCCTTCCTTCTTTGAATCCTTCGCACCACCCGTCTCTCTCGCTGCTCCACTGCCTTTACCTTCTCCCTTCTCTTTTTTAAGCAGCTCACCTCGCACCTTAAGGATCACCCTCGGCGATGTCACCGAAATCGACCCACCTGATGTGCCTTTTGCTCTCTGCCCTTGACTTACCCACGTTGGAATGGGCCACCTGTTTCCCTTTCCCATCCCTCGGCACACCTCCAGTCGTCTGTTCGCCATGCCCCTGCTTACCAAGATCGCCATGCCCCTGCTTACCACGATCATCCTTGGCATCTGAAATTCCAGAGATGCGATCCCCTGTCGCCCCAGAAATCGGCTTCTTGAGGTCCCCTCTGCTAGCATCCACCTTCGTCCCTTCTCCTAGTGGGGCGGCCTCCATCAACTTCCCCTGATGTTTCTCTGGTCTCTTCCCCGCAGCCTTCTCGGAGGCAGGTAGAGCAAGAACAACTCCCCTACTTGGATCTCCATCCGCCTCCTTGTCCTCCATCAGCACCTCCCGAACCTCCCGAACCTGCCCACCAGACCCCTTCCTCTTCCCCAGCGTGGCAGGGTTCACCCACACGTATTTCTGGAGCGGCGCACCATAGATGGCAGCCAAGGAGCTTTCATTGATACGATAGCCCGACTCCTTGGTCGAGAGTTCAGGGCCGTAATGCTCTTCCCCAGGCGGCGGAGGAAAGGAGCAATTCTGGGCTGTGTGCCCAAAACGGCCACAGTGGTAGCAGAACAGAGGGAGGTGCTCGTACACCAAAGTGATCCAAAACTTCCCCACGCTAGGATTCGTCGCGAAGAGCTGGGAACGCAGTGGCGCCAACACATCAAGCATGGCCCGAACCTTCAAAAAATGGCCTGGAACACCCTTCAGCCCGAACAGCCCAACATCACATACTTCTCCCAATTTACTCTCAACCATCCTTTTCCCGAAAGCCACCGTTCTGCAATGGGAGGGGATGCCCCACATCTGGACCCAAAACGGCACCCTGCCCAGCGCCTCCACCACAGTTGGTGTAATCGGCTCCCAGTTCTGCAGATGCAGAATTCGTTCTTTCACCTGCCAAGGAGTCCTATGGAGAGCCCAATCCTTGTCACGTTCGTCTTCGAAAAGAAATTAGAGTAACCCCAATTCTGCTTCCATGACCGTGACCTTCCCTGAACAACCCCATTCACCATACACAATTTTTTGAATGGTTTTGAGGCTGGGTGGATTGTCCATGAAAAGCCCCCCAACCAAGCTCAATTTCGCCCGCTGCATACTTTCCTCCACATCCTCCAGCTCAAATTCGACCACCTGATCAGGATCCATTGGTTCATCGGCCATGATTGCTCTGTTTCCGCAAAGCTGGAAGTGATGAGAAAACAGAGTAAACAGATGGGTAAAAACCAGGAAACCAACATATGGCAGTAGCCAGATTTGGTACAACCGCAAAAAAGCTCTCCAAAACATGATGTTTTTACCTCTCACGTCTGGTATTCGAGAGAGAATTGCCTCCGTCTCCAAAGCCTCCCAGAAAAATTGTTTGTGATGTTTTTTCTGGTCGCCGAGGAGCGAGGTTAAATACATCCACTGCGGGGCGAGCGGATGAATCGTCTGAGCGCAGGACTCTACTCTGAGAGTTACCTCTTGCTGATTTTCTCCAAAGCAATCTCCCAGCCGAATCTGGGTATATCCCCGCATTTCAATCTCTTAAACATGTGATCAATTGCAGAGCTAGAAATCTTAATAAGACGATACTTGAAAAAATCCAGACATCTATAATCTAACTAGCAGTTTGCAAGAGAAGTTTCTCTACTAACTTCACAAACATACCTCAAATCCTAAGGGGTGGTATGACATAACTATCGACTCTCACTTCTAAAAGATATGCCTAAGGAATGAGGATAAGTGAAATTTAAAAAATGAAATTCTAGTGTTGGGAATACAAAGTCTCGAAATCAAACATTTCGCCGTGCATGTAACTTTTCTTCTTCCGCTTTCCTATGTTTGCATAATTAAAAAGAATTAAGTATCGTTTTGCTTCATGGATTCAGATGTTGAAGTTGAGTCTTAAATTCAATTCATGATAGACTTTGCACAAAACTATTGTTTTTGCTTGAAATTTGTTAGAGGATCAAGTTTATTGGATTGTGGACTTGTAAGATACCGAATCTATAAGCAGCGGCGGATCCAGAACACAATAGAACACTGGGTCACATTTTATTAGAAAATTAGATACCGGAAAAAAACAATTTTTTTACAATATCAATTGTATACGTCGATCTTTAAAATTTTAATATAATGAATTCATCAATAATGGAGTTTACATCTATACCAATAACATACTCTCTTTAAGATAAAATAGTTAACCAATTGGCGAGAAATTCATCGCTCATTTTGTTGCGCAAATAATTCTTCACTTGTTTCATTGTTGAAAAGGTTCTCTCCATAGTAGTTAAAACGAGCAATGTCAACACTGGACAAATCAATCGACTAATCAATATATATTGTGTATCAATTCTTATTTTCACCGACTGCTCTAGTAATTTCTAAGGGAATAAACCTCATATTTCTTTTAGTCTTTTACGTTTTAGAATTTTAGGTTTCATTGTTTGTTTTTCTTTAGATGAGACCGAATCATTAGAGCTAGAATTTTCAAGCTAAATTTAGAGTTGTGATTTGAATATGTTCATCTTACCCATTTTTCTAATTACACACAATCTTATTTTAAAATAACACTCGGCCGAACGGCTAAAATCGGTAAACTCATAAGGGCTATACTAGCTCCGGATCCAAGGGAGGGTTGGGCCGTGGCCCGGGGTGGCCACCCCCTGGATCCGCCACTGTCTATAAGTCTCATGGACTTGTAAATCTCATCTAAAGAGATGAAATCTGGTACATGATCATAAATCCGTCATCTTATCAAGCAAAATATATAATCAATTTTTTTTTGGTCGAAAATGGAGCGCTTAAAGGGAGCCCCAACCTTTATGCATTAACTAAATGAGGTGTTTGTACCCCCAATCCAATCAAAGTATAGCCAGTACAGGAGCGTGTTGCTCGGAACATAAAAAATATGCATCCCTACAAGCAATGAATGTCCAAAAGAGGTGAGATAGTCAGCAACATAGTTCGCCTCCCGATAAACATGCTCAAATCTCACTTGCCACTCTCTATTAATCCAAAGCCTGATCTCGGCAACACTCCTATAGTGTGGATGTGATGGAGTTGCCGACTCTATCATGGCCAGCGCTGTAGTGTGTTGGATCGTCGAGCGCGAGACGGTCGGCCTTCTCTCCGATGATCACTCCTGTGAATGAACCCTAATTTTGCAATCTTAGACCAAGTGAGGAAATCGAGTGATGGAAAGATTAATTGAGACGAATGGAATTGAGTATTTGATTCAGATGCATAAAACGTTAGTTAATGGATAAAATGATCCTGAGTGGGCTTTGAGCCCTGAACGATATAACTACTAGCAGAATGAACTGGGCCTGCTGTCTGAGCCCAATTCACAGTGTCTTCTTCTTCCTAATGAAGCCGAGACTTCTTCCCAGTGCTCTGTTCCTGCAAAACAGAGTAAGACAACAAGAAAAATACCAACAACACAATCAACCTCACTCACACATACAACCCAGATTTTTACGTGGTATCCGATATTGGGAGAATGAGGATCCCAATATCGACTAATCCACGGTAGGAGACTCTCTTCTTGAGATCTCCTACGTAAGCACTATCTCAGCATTTTGAGCATTACAGAACTTGGTGAACTCCTAATCTACTCCCTGCAAATCTACCAAACTATGCCTTCGGTGTACAAACCTCCTGTTCGGACACCTTGATTTTCCCAACTAATCACCTCAATTAGCACTACTTATCACACCTCACAAAAGACTCTGGCTTCACAAGCTCTCTCTTTTGTTCTATCAAAGTACAGGGAAAATTTCTACTTAGTAACTCTAATCCACCCCACTATATATATCAATCTCCCATTCGAGCCGTTGAGGAGGAATCTCTTCTTGCCATATTTGCTCAGCTTATTTTGGCAAGTCTGTTGTTCTTTCCAATTTCTCATTCCTTTGAATTCGTCTGATTTATGCCATTAATTTCTTTCTCTTTATGCTGCTCCTCCTTATTGAAGACTTACATAGTGATATCGATCTGCTTCTCTCAACATTCTCCCCCTAAGCATGTCATTCGCTCCTGCTTCTGCTGCTTTCACATATTATCTGCACATCTCAACAAACGATTGGTGCAGCCTGTTCCAAAACACTATAACTAATACTGTGCTATGAATTCACGAAACGAGACTAAGTCTTTTATTGATCTTTTAAATGAGAACACACCAGACACACGACTCAGACAGAGATCGACTGCCAACCTCCTTATTGACTCAAGGACACTGAACCACAACAAAAGAAGCACAACCAATAAAGAAAAACTGACTCAAACAATTTACTCCCCCTAAACCGATTGCCTATCTAAAACTCATACTCAGGAGCAGACTCATAATCAGACACACCATCTTCCTCCTGTGAGCTACTTGGTTCAGCTATCTTAGCTAGATCAATTTGTGCCTTGCAATGCTCTAGGCTACAAAGCTCATTGCTCTTGAAAGATTGAATTTGCTGATCCAATGCCACTGACGCAACATCTAGTAGTGCATGAACCAGCTGATTAGCAGAAACAGCAGTATGCTCTCCCCCTGAGCGAATGATAGGCTTCCTCCTGCCAACAGAAGCATCGACACGAGCAAGAATATGCTGTGCACGCAAATCTTCCCGAATATCACAAACAATGATCTTGCCTGAAAGATCAATGCCAAGATTATAGAGGAAGCGAGTTATTTGAGGACCAAAGGGAAGTGGACCAGAGTAATTCTCATCCCCAAATTTGATCATGTGAGCAAACATGAGTGAGGAGAAGTCAAGAGGAACCCGATCACGTGCATTAGCCATGATCCAGACATTTGAAGGATGAGCTAACTCAGAACTCGACACGCTGCGAGGGAGCAGGACGCGAGTAATGAAAAAGTCCATCACTTTGAATAGATCTGCGAGTCTGCCTGCTGAAATCATATTAGAGAAATGGCGACCAATGTTGAAGGTAAGAGATTCCAATGCAGACCCATAGTCAAAACGAATCTCGGCAAGGTCATCATTGGTGGCAGCCGAGGATCCTTGACAGGGAAGCCCTAGAATTTCAGCTAGCAGTGAGGGTGTGACCAGTATCTCATGGTGATACACCACTGTGGTGAATGAGGAAGGACTGGGGCCAGGACCTCTCTTCAGACTGGCATAAAACATCCTCACTGCCTCGGGACATTGACTGAACCACCGATTCTCAAAAAGAGAATCCCATCCAAGGTTGTGGATAAGCCCAGAGATATCTAGACCATACTTTTGGAAGGAAGAGGGATGGATAGTAAACGATGGATAAAGAGGGCGGTGGCGAAAGTGATTGAGATAGCGCTCATAGCGCGCGGGATTGTGAAAACCCTTGTTGTTGAAGGTGACTGCAGGATGCAGTTGAAAGTTGATGGGAGCCATTTTGGAAGACAAGAGATCTATGATATTGTAGTGAAGGCTAAGGATGAAAAGAAGAACTAAGAGAGACTGCCTATATAAGGTCATCATCGAGAGTTAGAAGAGGAAGGTGCAAGATCTTAATGAGGAAAGAATCATTTCAACATTTGATTTATCAATCAGTGCTGATTTTAAGGAATCAGAGAAATCTCTTCCAATGAAAATAGGCCAAGTTCTCTACGAATAGTTAGGAACTTTTCAGCCCCTAAAGGCTTAGTAAAGATATCAGCCCACTGGAAATCATGTTGATAAATTGAAGATGAATCTGGCCATCTTGAACCAGATCCCTAATAAAGTGATAACGAACCTCTATATGTTTAGTTCTAGAATGCTGAATTGGATTTTTGGTCATATTAACAGCACTTGTGTTATCACACATGACTGGTAGTGAACCAAGCTGAATGTCATAATCACTAAGCTGATATTTCATCCAGAGAAGTTGAGTACAACAGAACCCTGCTGCTACATACTCTGCTTCTGCAGTAGAGAGTGCCACAGTGTTCTGCTTCTTGCTAAACCAGGAAACTAGAGAGGAACCTAGAAAATGACAAGCTCCTGAAGTGTTTTTCTATCTACTGAACAACTAGCATAGTCAGAGTCGCTGTAACTAATTAGTTCCAGACTGGAATCACTAGAGTACCAGAGGCCTAAGCTAGGAGTCCCAACTAGATATCTAAAAATCCTTTTGATGGCAGAGTAGTGACTTTCTTTAGGACAACTTTGGAACCGAGCACTCACACAAACACTATACATAATATCTGGCCTGCTAGCAGTCAGATATAGGAGAGACCCTATCATCCCCCTAAATAAACGACTATCTACAGGTTTTCCAGATTCATCCTTAGTGAGTTTGGTCGAGGAACCCATAGGAGTGGATGCAGCCTTTAAATTTGTGAAGCCAAAATGTTTTAGCATGTTATTAAGATATTTTTTCTGAATAATAAAAATGCCCTTGCCTGTTTGTTTAATTTGCAGAACTAGAAAGAAATTTAGTTCACTCATGAGACTCATTTCAAAGGCACTTTTCATAGAGATTTCAAAGTTCTTGCACATTTCCTGATTTGAGGATCCAAGATTATATCATCTACATACACCTGTACTAACAGAATGTGTTCACCCTGATTTTTTATGAACAGAGTTTTGTCTACTTGACCCCTACGAAATCCATCATTGATTAAGAACTGACTTAGTTTATCATTCCAAGCTCGTGGAGCTTGTTTTAGACCATACAAGGCTTTATTCAATTTATAAACATAGTCAGGATGTTCATGATCTTCAAAACCAGGGGGTTGTTCAACATATACTTCTTCTTTTAAATCACCATTTAGAAAAGCACTTTTTACATCCATTTGGTACAATTTAAAGCCTTTTGAGGCAGCATAGGCACATAGTAATCTGATTGCCTCCAATCTAGCTACAGGTGCAAAAGTCTCATCAAAGTCTATGCCTTCTTCTTGATTATAACCCTGTGCTACTAATCTAGATTTATTTCTTATAATCATTCCTAGTTCATCAGATTTGTTTTGATAGACCCATTTAGTTCCTATGATGGTTCGATTTTTAGGTCTAGGAACCAAGTCCCAGACTCTGGTTCGTTCAAACTGATGCATTTCTTCATGCATTGCAGCATTCCAAAACTCATCCTCTAAAGCTTCATCAATATTCTTAGGTTCTATTAATGATATGAAAGCAGTATGTTCATGATAGGTTTTAGATCGGGTGACCATACCTTGGTTTAAGTCTTCAATCACTAGAGAGGAAGGATGCCGTGTTTGGATATGCAGAGGGGCTTCTCGCTGGTGCATGTTTCCAGGATTTGCATTTTGATATGCCTTTATGCTTGTTGTTGCTTCAACAGCCTCTTTGGTTTGACTTATATTAAGTCCAAAATCCTCATCATCTTCTAGAGTTTCTGCACACTTACTGGTAGACTCATCAAATACCACATGAATGGACTACTCAACTTTGAGGGTCCTTTTATTATAGACACGATAGGCTTTGCTATTTACAGAATACCCCAGAAAAATGCCTTCATCTGACTTTGAATCAAACTTCCCTAATTGATCTTTGGTGTTTAGAATAAAGCATTTGCATCCAAATGGATGAAAATACCCTAGGTTAGGTTTTCTATTCTTCCAAAGTTCATAGGGTGTTTTGTTTAATTTTGATATGATTAGAGCTCTGTTTGTTATATAGCAGGCAGTGTTAATAGCTTCACCCCAAAAATGTTTTGGCACCCCATAATCATTTAGCATTGTTCTACCTATTTCAATAAGTGTCCTGTTCTTCCTCTCGACAACACCATTCTGCTGAGGTGTCCTAGGTGCAGAAAAATTGTGTATAATCCCTTTTTCATTACAGAATTGTTCAAAGTTTTCTGACACAAATTCCCCACCGTGGTCACTTCTGATACTGATGATTTTGATTTGTTTCTCATTTTCAACTCGAGCAGAGTAGTATTTAAATTCAGTCAGAGCTTCATCTTTACTAGTGAGAAAGAGTACCCAAGTATATCTCTAGTAATCATCCACAATTACAAAGGCATAATACTTTCCCCCTAGACTTTTTATATTACTAGGTCCAAATAAATCTAGATGAAGCAGTTCCAAAGGTCTGTTAGTAGAGATGACTGTCTTTGATTTGAAGGAGGACCGAGTGTGTTTTCCTTTAGCACAGGCATCACAAAAGAACTCCTTCTTGCTGTTAATTTTTGGAATCCCTCTGACTAACTCAAGATTTACAAGCTTAGACAGGGTACCTATGCTGACATGACCTAGTCTACGATGCCATTCTACCTGATCATTTTTATCAACCGAGATTAAACAGGTTTCATTGAAGGTAGTTTTGTCATTTAGATCAATTGTGAAAAGCTTACCCTTTCTTTTGCCAGTGAAAAGTATTTTAACACTAGAAATTTCTTCAACAAAACATTTTTCTGGCTCAAATATTACTCTGTTTTTACTACCACACATTTGACTTATTGAGAGCAAGTTATGTTTGAGATCTTTAACAAGCATGACATTGTTTATTGAAGGCATCGACCCTACTTGCCCTTTTCCTAGGATTTATGTGCTAAAATTATCACAGAAGAACACTTTACCTTTCTTTCCTAGGACCAGATTTGTAAAAAGCCTTCTATCCCCTATCATGTGATGTGAGCATCCACTATCCAGAATTCAAACGCTGTCTTCCATGCTCACTTGGAGACAGGTCTGCAAAAACAACTTTGTTTATTTGTTTTTAGGTATCCAAACTAGTTTGGTTACCCTTCCTAATTGAAAACCTTTTGAACAGTTTTGACTTGAGTATCCTACTTCATGACATTTAAAGCAGTTCAAGGTTTTTACTCGATTTTCTTTAGCTAGACGTTTTCTACATTCAGCAATATGATGTCCAATTTTATGACAGTAGTGACACTCTGAGTTTCTGAATTTTTGTGGCCGTCTATAGTTTTTACTCAGATTTCTGCTCGAGACCTTTTTTGATTTTACATTCAGTTTTTAACCTTCCAATTTCAGCTTCTGCTGATTCTAACTTACTTCTTAGTTCATTATTTTCAGTCACGACATTCACAAGTTTATTCTCTACATCTATCTTTTCTGCTTTCAAGGTTATGTTCTCTTTCAGCACTTCTTCATACTTTGACTTAATTAAAACATGCTTTTCTTTGACCCTTAAAAACTCATTTTGAATGTATAGGATTTTCTCATCTAACAGTTCATCCTCACTACAACATTCAGAGTAGTAGAGATTTACCTGTGTTTCGCTTTCCTTAGCATCGCTTTCTTCGGCAGCCATGTATGCTTCTTGTTTGGCGTCTTCCTCGTCTTCTTCATCTTCACTACAACTCCATGTAGTTGCGAAGTCCTTTTCTTTCTTCAGTAAGGGGCAATCTGTTCTGATGTGTCCAGTCTTGCCGCACTTGAAGCATCCTGTCTGTCACTGATTTTTCTCATAGCTTATTCCTTCTCTCTTGTTCTTCAAACCAAACCTACTTGGTCTGCTGAATTCCCTCTCATTTTCTCCATCCCTTATTCTACTTGGAAAGCTTCCTCTTCTCTTTTCTTTTCGCATCCTTAGCAGTTTGGCTACATGCTTGCTAAGCATTGCCAATTCATCATCCTCCATTTCTTCAAGACAGTCTAAATCATCTTCTTGTGTTACTGCCTTGAAGGCTATCCCTTTCTTTTCCTTTCGAGGCTCTTCTACTTCCTCTCTTTTCAATTTTTCTTCATGTGTTACTAGGGATCCAATCAGTTCATCTAAGCTTAACCTGGTAAGATCCTTGGGCTCCTCGATGGCAGTTACTTTAGGAGTCCAGCGCTTAGGTAGAGCCCAGAGAACCTCTCTCACTAAATCCGCACTTGCATACTCTACCTCCAGATTCCACAGGCTGTTTACAATTGTAGTGAATCGCTCAACCATTTCTCTGATTGACTCTTCTGGCTTCATAACAAACGACTCAAATTCTTGCTTCAGACTATCGATTCGCGAAATCTTCACATGCAATGTGCCTTCATGAGCTATCTGAAGCTTATCCTAGATCTCCTTGGCTGTTTTACATCCTGACACTCTGTGATACTCCTCGGGAACCAGAGCGCAGTACATCAGGTTGGTCTCTTTTGAATTCATCTGGAAATTCTTCTTGTCAGTTTCAGTCCATTTCCCACGAGCTTCCTTCACCTCAAGAGGACCATCCATTACTATGTTCCACAGATCAGGATCCGTCGATCCTATGAATAACTCCATGCGATTTCGCCAGTACCCGTAATGAACCCCTTCAAACCTTGGTGGTCTTGTTTGGGAAAAACCATCCGCCATGAAAATTCCAGTAGCTGACCCCGAGCTCATCTTCTCCGCAGACGATTAAGCCTCTTATGCAGGAGCCGGGCTCTGATACCACGTGTTGGATCGTCGAGCGCGAGATGGTCGGCCTTCTCTCCGATGATCACTCCTGTGAATGAACCCTAATTTTGAAATCTTAGACCAAGTGAGGAAATCGAGTGATGGAAAGATTAATTGAGACGAATGGAATTAAGTATTTGATTCAGATGCATAAAACGTTAGTTAATGGATAAAACGATCCTGAGTGGGCTTTGAGCCCTGAACGATATAACTACTAGCATAATGAACTAGGCCTGCTGTCTGAGCCCAATTCACAGTGTCTTTTTCTTCCTAATGAAGCCGAGACTTCTTCCCAGTGCTCTGTTCTTGCAAAACAGAGTAAGACAACAAGAAAAATACCAACAGCACAATCAACCTAACTCACACATACAACCCAGATTTTTACGTGGTATCCAATATTGGGAGAATGAGGATCCCAATATCGACTAATCCACGGTAGGAGACTCTCTTCTTGAGATCTCCTACGTAAGCACTATCTAAGTGTTTTGAGTATTATAGAACTTGGTGAACTCCTAATCTGCTCCCTGCAAATCTACCAAGCTATGCCTTCGGTGTACAAACCTCCTGTTCGGACACCTTGATTTTTCCCAGCTAATCACCTCAATTAGCACTACTTATCACACCTCACAAAAGACTCTGGCTTCACAAGCTCTCTCTTTTGTTCTATCAAATTACAGGGAAAATTTCTACTTAGTAACTCTAATCCACCCCACTATATATATCAATCTCCCATTCGAGCCGTTGAGGAGGAATCTCTTCTTGCCATATTTGCTCAGCTTATTTTGGCAAGTCTGCTGTTCTTTCCAATTTCTCATTCCTTTGAATTCGTATGATTTATGCCATTAATTTCTTTCTCTTTATGCTGCTCCTCCTTACCGAAGACGTACATACTGACATCGATCTGCTTCTCCCAACATAGTGGAGTCTGTCTGCAGAACAAACTTTCTAGCCCCTTCTTCCCAGGCAAGCTTTAACCCATGCACAATTCCAACCAGCTCTGCTTTGGTGATTGAACCCCCTCCAAGGTTCGCCGAGAAATCTCTAACAAAGCGGCCATCGTCGCCCCTTACGATGCCGCCACAAGTTGTGCTCCCCTGTGAGTGTATCACTGATCCATCGGTATTGACACACACCCAGTCTGGCTGAGGTTGCTGCCAGCAAATAAGTCGTCGCGCGTGGAGTCTCCCATTTCCAAATATGCGACTCTCTTTCTCGAAAGCAGAATGGATCTGTTGCTTGAGCTGTTTGGCTTCGAATTGAAGTTGTGCATGGGTTTTCAGTTCCAACAAATTTAATGAGGAAAAGATAAACTCTTTCGAATCAATAATTCCAACAAATTTATCATAAGCCTAGAGTTTTTGAAAACTCATATTTTACCAAAGTTAAATTTTCAAATCCTAAAGCAAATTAACCCTAAGTTTGTATGAGATTTTCTTTGGTATTTCATGCGGCTTTGGGACAAAATTCATGATTTTTCCGCAGGCAGAGGACTTCGCCGAACCAAAATGTATTTCCCAATTTGTTGATGATTCCTCTTTTTCATCAGAGGCCGCCGCTTGATTTGATGAAATTCAAAGTGATGGACCTCACCTAATGGTGTTAGAAAACTAGTAGTCCATACTGCGCCTCAGAAGAAGAAGAAGAAGAAGAAGAAGAAGAGCGTCAGAACTGATGAAGCCACCATCAAGCTTCTTTCAGGGTCATCCACCGGCAAGAAGCACGACGAGGCCGCCTCTTCCCAGACAGAGGAATGTGCGACCTCCACTGGTGTAAGGGTTGGGGATCGAAGTTATTATTCCAGCGAAATAGAGGAGTAGATTTACAGAGAAGAAAGTAGAATGTCTGGCTAACTAACTTCCAATCTCGTAGAGAAAGTTTACAGAATGATCCCAGATGCCCAATCCCAACCCCCTTTTCTCTATTTATACAATCATCTTCTGTCCAGCTTGATTCCAGCTGTCAACCACTTGCCTCAACACCCTGGGACATTACAAATCTTCCCCCCTAAAGAAACAGCTTGTCCTCAAGCTGGGAATGAAGGAAACTGCAGCTTGAACGAACGGTAATCCTCCCAAGTAGCATCCGCCGGAGATTGATGAGACCAGTGTACCAAGATTTGAGTAACAGCCTGGTTACCCTGCTGGACACATTGACGAGCAAGAATAGCTTCCGGAGTCAATTTCAGAGAACCTTGTTCGTCCACGCCCGGCAGAGAAGAGACCTCAGGCACATGGAGAGCCCCGCAACGCTTCAGCTGAGACACGTGGAATACGGGGTGTATCTTAGCGTCGGCAGGCAACTGTAACTTGTAAGCAACGGTACCCACTCTGGCCAACACCAAGTAAGGACCAAAAAATCGTGGTCCCAATTTGCTACCCTGCCGGCCGACCACCGATCCCTGCCGAAAGGGCTGCAACCGAAGATACACACGATCCCCCACCTGAAAAGAACGTTCTGAGCGACGCTTGTCGGCGTGCTGCTTCTGCCTGTTCTGGGCCACCGTCAAATTGTGGCGCAAGAAGGAGATGAGTTGCTGCTGGCGAGCAAGACGGTCTTCCACAGCGCCCACTGGAGACGACTCCACCCCCGAAATACCGAAAAAAGATGGAGGAAACCCATACAAAGCTTCAAATGGCGTGAGACGAATGCTGACCTGAAAGTGCGTATTGTAGCACCATTCCGCCAATGTGACCCAATCTGCCCAGTCCTGAGGACGATGAAAGGTCATACAACGAAGGAAATCTTCCAAGCATCTGTTCACCCGCTTAGTTTGGCCGTCAGTTTGTGGGTGGTAGGCGGTGGAATAGTGAAGATCAACATTCTGCAACCTGAAGAATTCTGTCCAGAAAGAACTTGTGAAAGTTGAGTCCCGATCTGACACAATCGTCTTGGGCATGCCATGAAGTTTGAAAACACCATCAAAGAAAATCTGGGCGACGGACTCAGCAGTGTACGGATGAGATAGAGCGAAGAAATGGCTATACTTGGTGAAACGATCGACCACCACAAACAGAATGTCCTTCCCCTTAGAACGTGGCAACCCTTCCACAAAATCAATGCTAATGTCCTGCCATGCCTGATGAGGAATGGGTAAGGGCTGAAGGAGACCGGGAGACGCTACTGCTTCAGCTTTGCATCGACTGCACACATCACAGGCCTTCACCCACGCTTGCACAACCGCCTTCATTCCAACCCAGTAGAAGTGCGATTTGAGTCGTTGGTAAGTGCCTTGTACCCCTGAATGTCCGCCAACAGCAGAGGAATGAAATAATTTCAGCAGCTTCTCCCTCATATACCCAGCAGACCCCACCACAATGGAACCTTTGTACCGCAAAACCCCCTGAGAATAAGACCATAAAGAAGGCCCCGACGGAGTAAGAGAGGCTGCAGCAATCCGTTCAGTGACCCATGGATCACCCGCATACGTCTGCTCGACCTCTACCATCCATTCCGGGATAACCGTAGAGAGGGCAGAACAACCAGCCGCCTCTTCCCCTTCAAATCGACGAGAGAGAGCATCGGCTGCACCATTAAACTTACCCCGACGATACTTAATCTGAAAATCAAGCCCCAAAAGCTTAACAAGCCCTTTCTTTTGAATCTCCGTATGAATCTTCTGTTGAAACAGAAACTTCAAGCTCTCGTGATCGGTAAGTATGGTGAAAGGTCGTCCCTCCAAATAATGGCGCCACTGATCAACCGCCATAAGAACTGCCAAAAACTCCTTCTCATAAGTGCTTCTTCCTTGGTTCCTCACTCCAAATGATTTACTGAAGTATGCTATGGGTCGGCCTTGCTGAGAGAGAACAGCCCCTGCCCCCGTCCCACAAGCATCCGTTTCCAACGTAAAAGGCACAGCAAAGTTGGGCAGGGCCAGCACCGGAGCTTCGCTCATAGCAGTCTTCAAGGCGAGAAAGGCTGATTGAGCTTCTGCTGTCCACGTGAAAGAGTTCTTCTTCAACAAATCAGTAAGCGGCCGACTAATAATCCCGTAATGGCGTATGAACTTTCGATAATACCCAGTGAGGCCAAGAAACCCACGGAGAGCCTTGACGGAAGTCGGTGGTGGCCAATTCAGCATTGCCGCAATCTTATTCGGCTCAGTGGACACCCCTGCCTCACCAATTACATGCCCGAGGTATTCCACCTGAGGTTGGCCGAAAGAGCACTTCGACAGTTTGGCATATAGCCGATGCTTGCGAAGCAATAGAAGCGTTTGGCGAAGATGCTCTTGATGGAGAACAGCCGAGGGACTATAAACCAAGATATCGTCGAAGAAGACCAATATGAATTTGCGGAGATGGGGAGCAAACACATGATTCATAAGGGCCTGAAACGTTGCCGGCGCATTGGTTAAGCCAAACGGCATAACCAGAAATTCATAATGGCCCTGGCTTGTGCGAAAAGCCGTCTTGTGCCGATCCTCCGGCCTCATTCGAATCTGGTGGTAACCCGCCCTCAGATCCAGCTTCGAAAAAAACCGAGCTCCATGGAGTTCGTCAAGCAAATCATCAATAATAGGAATGGGGAATTTGTTTTTGATGGTGATGGAGTTTAGAAGACGGTAATCCACACAGAAACGCCAGGACCCGTCCTTTTTCCCGATCAACAGAACAGGGGCTGCATAGGGACTTTGGCTAGGCTGAATCAACTAAGATTCAAGCATCTCGCCAACCATTTTGTCGACGACAGCTCGCTGATGGTAGGGTACACGATAGGGTCGAACATTTATGGGTTTGGACATGGGGTCAAGAGGAATGGAATGGTCAAATTGGCGGGGTGGCGGAAGAGTAGTGGGAGTGGAAAACACATCGGAGAACTGGTCAAGCAAAGGTTGAAGGAAAGAAGGAGTAGGGGCAGAAGAAGAAGAGGGAACAGCAGGTGAAAGGGAGAAGAGATGACCAGTGAATTGGGTGACCTTTTTCTTCAATAGCTTGTGGAAGGATTTGCCCGACAACAACTTACACTGGGCTTCTCCCACAAGGCCCTGCAAAGTCAGCTGTTTCCCCTTCCATTCAAAGGACATCTGCCGTTGTTTGAGATCTAATTGGATTGGGCTAACTGATTCCAACCAATCGAGGCCCAATACCAAGTCGTGAGCCCGCAAGTCCAGAGTGCGTACAGCAAACGCAAACTGGGTGCCCTGCATCTTCCAACGGAAATCGCTACAGACCGAGTTACTGAGCAACGATGACCCGTTCGCAACTTTCACCCGCATTGGCGGTGCCGAGTCGAGGTGGCAACGTAACTCGGAAGCTCGAGATTCACTGAGAAAAGTGTGACTACTGCCGGTGTCGATCAGAACGACTATCTCATGGCGACCGACCCTCGCCGGAATCTGTAACGCGCGACCAGTCGATCCCGATCCCATAGCTTGCAAAGAAACCTCAACGTCGTCGGCACCCGCAACCGGCTAGACTAGATCCACTATCTCATCATCACTTGCGTCCATCGATTCGTCCGCCTGAAGCACTTGGATCTGTTTCTTCTTCGCACAAACATGTCCGTAAAAATACTTATCACCACACTTGAAGCAGAGGCCCTGATTGCGAGAATTGGACAGATGATCAGAAACCACAGACGGCATGGAGGAAGTTTCAGACGGAAATTTCTTCGGCGGTGGGGCAGGAGATGGAGGCAACCACTTCAATGGCGGTCGAGTCTTCTTTTTCCTGGCCGCAATTGACATTTCCTCGAGACGAGCTTGGTGAAAAGCGAGGGGCAGCGTCTGCGGCATCAACATCTGAACTCGAGGCTGGATTTCCTCATCGAGACCGCTGAGAAAACTCATGATAAAGTACGATTCCGTGAGGTTGGGGTTCAATCGCAGCATTCGAGCTCGAAGCTCCTCAAATTCCTCCTGGTAATTCGACACTGACCCGTCCTGCCGGAGTTTGTTGAACGCCCCGACGATGTTGAGCTGATCCTTATCGCCAAAACGATAGAGAAGATCAGCGACGAAAATGTCCCATTGGAAGAACTGACGATTGCTGGACCAGCCTTCATACCAAATATTCGCTCGTCCCTCCAAATACAAGGAAGCCAACTCCACCTTCTCCGCGTCGAGAATAGAATGGATCTGGAAATACTTCGCACACTTCCGGAGCCACGCGTGAGGATCTGTACCGTTGAAGAAAGGAAGATCGAGGCGAGGATAATGATCCGCCATTGATGTGCGCCGGTGCTGATGGCGGCCGAAACTCCGATCGCTCGGTTCAGCGGTGCTGTGAGGGGAGGATGAACGGTTCAACAACATCTGCAGCGATGCTTCAATCTTGTCGAAGGACTGGGAATGGCGAAGTTGTGTGTCCTGGAGGGCGGCGATCGAAGCGACGACGGAGCTCATCTGCTCGTCGACGGAAGTCATCTGCTCCTCAAGCATAGAGAGGCGAGTATTGTGAGTTTGTTCTGGCGCCATTGTTGCCGGAAGAAAGGCTCTGAATACCACTTGTAAGGGTTGGGGATCGAAGTTATTATTCCAGCGAAATAGAGGAGTAGATTTACAGAGAAGAAAGTAGAATGTCTGGCTAACTAACTTCCAATCTCGTAGAGAAAGTTTACAGAATGATCCCAGATGCCCAATCCCAACCCCCTTTTCTCTATTTATACAATCATCTTCTGTCCAGCTTGATTCCAGCTGTCAACCACTTGCCTCAACACCCTGGGACATTACAACTGGCTACAATTTTGAGAACTTGAGATACTGATTGTCTTCCATCTCCTATTGGTAATTTTCTCCTCTTCGTATTACGCTTGGAGTATATTTGCTTTGATACTTTTGATAAGTTTCTTTATTCCAATGATAGATTCGTTCAAATTTGATTTGCAGGGTTATGGTTGGGATCCCTAATTTGAGTGCAGTTTTGTTATTGTTTGGCTTGTTAGTATGGGAGGGCGAATTGGTCGATTGGGGATTAGGATCGCTCACTTCAATTTGTATGCTTACTACTATGATGTTGGGTTTTAATTGAGCTTCAGTGATTAAGTATGAGAAGCTCCACTGTTATGAAGTGTTCAATTGGTTCTTTTTCCCTCTGCTGGCCAGGTTGGCAAGCCATTGCCCAACGATGCAAAAGCACAAAAACTGGGTTTTCAGACTTGGATTGAAGCTGTAATTGAACTTGCTCCTCACCATTTTCATCGTTTATCACTATCTATTGGAGATCTATCTATTTCTTACAGTGCCCTGATACTGGTTTTGCTTTACTTTTCTTGATTTGTCCAAGACAGAGATATATGGGAACAAATTGCTTATATATTATCAAGAGCGATGCGAGGCTGATTTTTTGGACAACCATTCTTCTTCTGGTAAGACCCCATTTGCCTGTTGAGCTATTTAGATTTTTGAGTAATAGAACTTTTGACAATGAATCAACTTCAGATGAGGACTCTGATGCTGAGAGGTTTATGGAACTTTGAACTTAAACTAGAAGAAGAATGATGAATACGCTGAAATTAATACCATGATTAGAGGGGCCTTGAAGTTTACAATTCCATATGTGGTTTACGGGTGTGTGATAAGCTTTTAGAGGGGAGGTGCACAGGAACTGTTGAAGGGCGTTAGAGAGAAGGTGAGCATGCTTGGACACGTTAGCTTTCCCTTCCTCCCACTATTTGCATTCTGTTATTAACAAGAGGAATGTTTCACAAGGTTTTTGAGAAAATGTTGCCTGCTCATGAGTCGGAATGTTTCTCGATTGATATTGACTCTCTTATTCTTGGGGACTTCCTATTTCGTTAGGGGACAAATCTCTATGGATTTGCTTGTGATTTCTTTTCTCTTACTATATTATAAATGCTTTGATGAGTGAAAAATATGCTTTGTTTACCATGGCTGGTGGTGGTGGGAAAATCCTTTGTTGTCATCTATAACGAGTTCATGGTAGGTAAGTCTTCCATGAGAGGATTTATTTATCTGTAGCATGTGAAAGGAAAGAGGCTTTGGTGGGTAAAGCTCCTCCTATTGTTACTTGTTCATCCAATGACAACGAATGGAAGCATGCTGCAATTTTGAATTGCTGAGTTTTAATCTAAAATACAACTAGAAGCATCGACTTTCTTTTAATTTACATGCAAAAGAGTTAAAAGCTGAAGGAAGAAACAGTTGGAGGAGCATAACTCAAGTGAGATGAGTCGAGTATTTTACTTAAGAAGCCATATATACGGAGCTTCACTGCTAGCAGTTTTTTTTTTGTTTTGTTGATAAGGGTGAATAAATTCAATTAGAAAGAAACAAGAAGATACAAAAGAAGGTACACATCAGATCGCCAGAAGTGATCCAACGTGGGTCAAGAGAAGAGGAATGCTAGCAGTTCTTAAATCTGACTTTCAAACCCAAACGAGATGTTGGTGAATTTGTGGGAAGGCTAAGAGTCCATTTGTCATTTCTGAACCCCACTAACAGTGAGGTATAGTTTTCGACGGAACTTCCTGTCATTTCCTCCTACTCTCTTAACTACTTTTCGACTACTAAGCATTGATGTCCAGGTCCATTATCTTTATTGCCTTCTTGCTGTGAACCATGTCACCTCTCTACATTATTCTGCTTGCTGCCAGTTCTAGACTGGTTGATGTATTTCTAAGATTAGATGCTTGGATTTCTTGCCATGCTTGGTATACTCAATATTAAAGCCTTTCATTCATACTAGGATCATTCAACATGCCTCATTGCTCTAGATGCATGTTCCATGGGCTGATAATGGCGAGTAAAGATAATAGTCTTGCTAGGAGAGTTTTGTTATTACACAATTGCTGCAATGCAGTTCATCTCTTGACTTGGTTAAAACTCTTTTCCTGCAATGTGGATTTTGTCTTGAAACCTTTTCCTGTAATGTAGATGGACTTGGTGCAATGCAGTTCATCTCTGGTGAGTGATCACTCTGCATTTGTAAGGGAATGACCGTATGTTCTTTTTTATGGATGGAATTGCACTGGGATTTCATCTTGCTTATGTTAACTTAGACCATGGAAAAGCCAAGCGGAATTTTGAGCTTTTGCAAGGATGACAGCCGAGTAAGTAAGATTCAAAGAAGCAGTCTTGAATTGTGAATGATCAGTGTCTTGGCCTCATTAGAAAATGATGCATGTCATTTACAGTCACCTTTTGATTTTGTGGTTTCATGGCACTTTTTCACCATTCCTCCATTCGTTTTTTCTCTGTCCAGCAACCCTTTGTTTGCTTTTGATTGCACTGAGCATCTGTTTCTGAGAATTTTTTTTATGATCGATCTGTTTCTGAGAATTGTAGTAATAGAGGAATGGTAAAAGCAGGCCTGATATTTTTTTCTTTTAATCACAATTGACAGCCAAATCTACTTGGGCGGTACTATGAGTTATTATTATCCATCCACATTGTGATAGAAGAAATTACATATACCAAAGAGGCTGGCAAAACAGTGAAGGAGCTATTTTTCTAGTATAACAGGGCTTGACGGTGTCATCCGCCATATTAAACACGCCTTGATCATGGCCTCCGAGTACTTCCGAAAAGAAGTCCGACTGATCGTCGGTGAAGTAGATGCAGTTGGGTGTCAACATTCCTCGTCCTTCTTGCTGCTTATTTGTATTCATCGCTTCCAGTGACAGCGACAAGCTGCAGCTTTGGCCTACAAACAAGGCTTCATCAGATCTCAAATTGTATACCCTCTCCAACTTGCACGGCCGCCGCCGCCGCCCACAGTCCACCAATTTGCTGACCATGAACCCAACAGTCAGGTACATACTTTCAAGGTCGAAAAGCTCCCCCTCATCAGCAGCCTTATTATAGTAGAAACCTGCGCGGTAGCGCTTTACCAGTAGAAGATCGCCCGACAGCGAGCTCACCAAGTAGTTGGCTACTCTCGATTCATTAAGCTTAGACCCGCTGCAGAGCTTGCGCCATTTTAGCTCCGCAAGGTTTCGAACACCGGTAGTAATGTTGTTGATGGTGTAGACTGCCCCAAATCCAGATGCCGCATAGATGTTCCCTTTGTGGCAAACAACGTCGGCATAGCCTTCCACGATCAGCTCGAGCTCCGTCCACGCTGCGTTGCTGTGATCGGAAATCTCATCCCCTAATCTGCACGCCCACAAGAAATCGGCCTGGCCAACGAGGGCCAACACCACGCAGTCGGGATTGGCGGCCCCGTCTTTCCAGGGAGCCGCTGTCACCACAGCCTTTGTGATGAAAAAATCGCAGAAATCTTCAGGGAGCAGTTCGCCGTAGGTGGAATTGGGGCAGCGTGATAGCGGCGGAAGTTTTACCGCGTGCTCGGTTAATGGGTGGGTCAAATGTACCTCCACTTCTCGATCCGTCACCACCAACCACCCGTGGGACACGCCAACGCAGGAACTCATCCCCGTACCATTGACGACTTCATTCACCTTCATCCGGTGGGTTCGTCCGTCCAGCAAGCTGAAGAATCGGCGCTGACGCCCGCAGCCGCCGCCCTCCTGGTCTTGTCTCAGCAGCATAAGCATCGGGAAACCGGGCGGCAGCGGAGGCGGCGACTTGATAACCGGCGCCAACGCGGAATGCCATGACTTGCAAACGGCGGCGTATGAGAATAGATCCCTCAGGTTGCGCAGCCGCAGTGCCACGTCGTATAGGATGTCGCCGGGGAGATGCTCCCACCTCTCCTCTGCCATATTGTTATCAACTTGCTTATTAGCATTGGTCAATTAGGAACGGCATTCTACTTGTTTATATATAGGACCGGACCGATTCCGATTCGGATTTGGATTCCATACCTTATAATTCAAGAATTCGGATGATTTAAAGATTCCGACCAACTTCACGTAGGATGAGGATTCCCTCTGGATTTTAGATTTGGAGTTATTTTCACTTACTTTGAAAATAAAAACCTATCAATATCTGAATTTAAATTATAAAATAAATTAAGCAATAATCAAATATAATAAATAAAGCTATGAAATCTAAGGTATTGGGCAAAACAAATTATACCTAAAATTAATATCATTAGCAAATTTGTTCTACTCCTACCAAATTAGCCAAAATCAAACCACAATGTATCACAAATCTATTCATATTCACTGACCAAATTATACCGATGCCGAACAAATTTCTAGGAATTGGGATACCTAATTTATTCTGGGATTGTGATTGAGATTGAGTTAAGGGTACTATTTGGTATTCGGGATTTCGGTATTTGGTATTGGGATATCGATACCATACTGATTTCTACCCCTAATTGAAATCATGCAATGTCTGATTAAACCGATTCTATTGACTCGAACAAGTAAAATAAACTATGGTTCAATCATCCAAAGAAAAACGGGTAAATGCCACATTTGGTCATTGAGATTACTAAATCATGTCATGTTTAGTCATTAGAAAAAATTATTATCAATTTTGGTCACTTGAATTACTGAAACATGTCACATTTAGTCACTCTCTCCTTAATTTCTGTCCAATACCATTAACGGAGTTGGACGGAAGCTAACAGAAAAGCATTCTGAAATTGAGCTGTTTCTTTAGTTAAAAGTTAAAACAACATAAAACTAAACGAGGTACAATCTAGGGAGCCTATTCTGCTACTCTAACCACTTATGTAATAAATACCCCTTAATGATACCAAGTAACCCCATCTTCCCCACTAATTCACATCATAATCTCACCCCTAATCATCATCATCATCTTCTTCTTCTTCATTGTCATGGTCATCATCACTGCTAATGCCAAAGACGTAAAAGGGGTCTTCTTCGTCCATCCTGTACATGGGAGTTGGGCCGTGCTTGGGCCGGCACGACATGGGCACTCTTCAGGCTCATTTATTTCGTGCTGTGCTTGGCACGACCCGTCAGTTTTCGTGCCGTGTCATTAGGGGTGTTCAAACGGTGTGGTTACCATGGTAACTGTTTTAACCAGTACTATTTGGATAATTTGGTTTGGTTAATTTGGATAATTGGTTTGGTTTGGTTCAAATTTTTAGCTTGTTTAGTTTAGGTGGTTTGGTTTGGTTTCACACTCCTAACCAGCCAATCCAAATTAACCAGATAAATAATTAGTCATATATCTAATATATACACATACTTAATACTTTGAATAACCACTCAAGAATTAAACGTTCATCGCTTTTAGACTCATAAAATATAAAGCTTGATATTGCTCCTATAATGTATATTTGTATATGTAGAGTGTAGACCACAACATATGAACGCCTAATTTAGATAAATCTCATACATTATGTTGGATGAAAACTTGAAAGCAAGGTCATTTTCAGCCTATGAAAATTGCTAAAAAACTAAGTCAATTCAAACAAACACAAAAATACATTAACCCATACCATTGTGATAAATTTTTATTAGGTGAATACTTCTTTACTAACCGTAAGATAATTGTCTTAGTTGCATGTATTTATGTTAAGGGTCAACTATAACTATGTGTTTATAGTTATGTTTTATTCATTATATAAATTGTGAATTGATAAATTTATCGAAATTTTCTCACTTAATGATAATGTGATTCTATATTGGTTAATCTGGTTAACCAATTAACCAAACCGATTAAACTTTAATTTGGTTAATTTGGTTGTTGTATTAGTTTGGACGGTTTGGTTATGATATTGTATTCCATGGTTAATGAAATTTAGCGTTATTTGGTTTGGTAATAACCATGGTAACCATTTGAACATCTCTACGTGTCATGCAAGCCCATTTGTTACTTTTGCTAGGCCCAACCCAGGCTCGGGCATGACTTAAATCTTGCCGTGCCTATTCGTGCTCGTGCCGTGCTCATATTTGTGTTAACGAAAATGAAGAAATTAAAAGAAGGAATGAAAAGAAAGGAGAAAATTGGATGGAGAATGAAAGTATTAACCGAGAATGTTTGAGAAATGTAACAACAAAGAGGAAAAGAAAATTGAAAGTATAACGAGTGTGAAGTTACTTTGTTTAATTCTTCGTTTGTTTTTTTGTTATGGTAGTAATTACATATACATCTTTATTATCACTTCTAACGACAATAAATAATTATTTGTGCTACTTATATTTTGCAATATTTGAACATATTGTTCTTTTTAAATTTATTTTTTTTATCATATTAATATTCTTTTTGTGCTATGTCCGTTCTTATACTCAATAAGGTTCTAAAAATATTTAGCCCGGCATGGCCCATTTACAAACCATGCCGTGCTCGTGCCTGTGCCTATGAAGTTTAGGCCTGACACGGCCCGTAAAGAATTCGTGCTCGTGCCGGACTGGCCAATATATTTTGTGCCTGTGCTCGTGCCGGGCTCTAACCGTGCCGTGCCGTGCAAGCTCGTGGGCGGCCCGGTGCCCACGTACAGTCCATCCTCCTCCTCCTCATTGTCATGGTCATCATCACTACTAATGCCAAAGAAGTAAACGATTATTCGTAAAATTGTTCGACTTACCCTTCAAATTAAACCATTAAAGATTAACTATCAAATTTAGTATAATTGTTGTGACTTCAATCATAACTTACTCGATAGCATATATCCTATACACTTGGCCTTACCCTCAATCGACAATATTAAGTTAGTATATGTTGTTGATCTTATACCTAAATCATCAATACATTATACACTAACCACATACCCTATACCCTAACCATATATCCTTACGAGTTGTGATTTTGCTAGTATAGTTAATTTAAAGTGAAATTCATACTTTAATTTTCAAAACATAGATAAAAAAAGTGATATTTGCTATACCCTAACCATATATCTTATACTCAACACCATATACCTTGTACCCTAACCACGTACCATAAACATAAATTAAAAAGGGATCTCCTGTCGTTAAAGACTTCAAATGACTTCAAGTGAACATATGTTAATAAAAAACTTAGAATCGTCAAAACCATCAATACCTTATACCCTAACCATATATACCCTAAACCATCTGTACCTTATACCATATACCCTAAACAACGAACCGTCAAAGATTGTTTATCAATTTTGGTATAATTGTTGTCTCATATTCACTCGCCCATAAATTTTCCATTCCGGAGTTCTCACCCTAACCTCCCTCTCATTTTCCATTCCAAAGTGACCGCAACCCGATTAACAAAATTTTCAAACCCGCAGCCTGACTGAGATATTGCAATCATATGACTTAACATGCTAAGTTTAACCCCATTTTGAAATAAAAGTTCAACTCAAACACAACTTAAATGTGCCAAAATTTTACTAAGTGTTGTAAAATAACAATCATATAGTGTTGAAGTTGCAATAAATGTAGAAGCATAGAAAACAAGTAGACAAATTAAGTAAATTTTTCTAAAACAAATGATTGGTGTAACTAATGGTTAATTTAGTTATTATATCATAAACAATTACATATATAAATTAGCATTCAACGCATATAAGAATAAATTTAATCAGTCATGCTCTCCATATAAAAAATAAAGATTCATATTTCAAAGGTTAAAATTTTGAAAAACCAAAAAGTTGAAAACACCAAATTTGTTTCCTTCTTTCTTTTCATAAAAAAAATTAAAATACTAAAATCTTCCTTCTTCATTCTCCTTCCATAAATTAGAAACAATCAATTTTTTCTCTTGCTTCTCTTTCATAAAATTAAAAGAACCAAAATTTTCTCCTCCTTCTCTTCCATAAAATTGAAAAACCAAATTTTCCTCTTCCCTCTTCACTCCTTCCTTCCACAAAAAGTTGAAAACTCAATATTTTTCTCCTTATTTCTATTTCATAATAAAAAAGAACCAAAATTTTCCACTTTTTTCTCTTCCCACAAATCAAAACCATCAAAATTCCCCTTTGTTTCTTTTCTAAAAAATTCAAGTAACCAAATTTCCCTTTTCTTTCTTTTCCCAAAAAATTGAGTGCACCAAAATTTCCATATTCTTTTAAAAGTATCAAATTACCAAATACATTACTTTACTTTATTTATATTTAATTGATAACATAATTGAATAGTTAAATTAACCAAAATTTTAATTTTTATATTATATTATTATTTTGCATGATCTCAGTTATTAATTATTAATAAGAACTTAGTGTTCAAGTGACCTTCATGTTTTCATTTTTGTAATTTTCTAAAAATACATAATATCAAGTGAGTTTCATATTTTTTAAATTCTCTATACGAAATGGAAAAAAATAATTTTCGAGTTAATTAGGTTGCCGATTACTAGTCGTTGACTTTTAGTTAATTCGGATTGCGATCGGGTTGCGGGTAGGGTGATCGAGCGGATTCTATTTTGACACCTATACTTATAGATAGGGATTGAACACGCAAACTTCTGATATAGAGTCAGACGTAGTGCGGATCATTAGTTATTTGGTGTATGGTTTTGCCTATATAAACGAAGCTTCCACCTCCTTTTACTTGAATCCCAAACAGCTATTGCTTTCCAGCCCATTGAATCTCTACATCAAGATTGAAATTGAGACTACTGCTTTCTAGCGTTTTCTTAACTATCTTTTCATCTTTTCCTATTCTACCATAGAGAACTATTATCATTTTATTGATGCCTATTTAGTATTTAGTGTCACTGCAATAAAATTCACCCATTTAGGGCTCAAACAACCACCCATTTTATTGATGTCTATTTTGTGTCATTGCAATAAAAGTCACTGAGCAAATATGTTTTATTTTGTATTTTAGACAGAAATTATGTATCATAGACAATGTTATAAAAGAGGCAATTAAGCGTCCGATCATGCCGTGAGTCG